GTGGTGCAATGGGAGATTCACATCATGGATGTGCAGCCAACAAGTCTGCAGTAACTTCGTGATGATATCATGTCAATATGGACCAAAATCTCTGAGGAATATTTACAGTATTACAGTAGGATTAAGGCAGTTCTGAAGGCAAAAGTTGGTCCAAGCCGATACTAGTAAGGTATACCCAAGAAAGTGGCCGGCGATTGTACATTTACATTTACACACACACACACACACATACACAAACACACACACATATCTATATCTATATCTATCTATATATATATATATATATATATATATATATATATATATATATATATATATATATATATATATATATATATATGTGTGTGTGTGTGTGTGTGTGTGTGTGTGTGTGTGTGTATGTATATATATATATATATATATATATATATATATATATATATATATATATTCACACACACACACACACATACAATTAATAGCTTCAAAGGGGAGCTAGGATTTTTCTTATGTTTTGAAAAGACTATTATGCTTCCCAACACTGCATTTATTTGACCAAAATACAATATAAGCATTAATATCCTGAAATATGTTTGTGATTTAGTTGGAAAAACTGATTTCTATTTTATTCTATGTTATTTGCGAAGGCAAAGGTAAAATTCCAGCATCATTTATCCAGTCTGTAGTGTTGTTCACGATTCTTCAGATATTATACTAATATGATATGACTGTTACCCTTTTTCCACAAGTCTTTGAGGACTAGACTGTTCAATAGAGCAGTCTTTATTTAAAATCGAGTTTTATGCACAAAACATAAATGGAAAAAATGTCTTTACTCTCATTTTGTTTAATGCTTCCCTGCGAAATCATTTTATTATTTATTCATTTAATTTTAATAATAATAAAAATGTACTGACATTAAACATTTTAATTGTGTATATATTCATTTTGTTCTTTTGTCTGTGATTAGGCTCATTTATCCTTCATGCGGTACATCAGTGTGGCCTGTGTGGTGGGAATCATCGCTGGATTCTGCATAGGGCCTGGTGAGGAACACAATAAACAGGAATTTCTCTGTCATATTCCTGTATTTCAAAGTTTATTCCTGTACTCTAGATATTTTAAAAGTTTTATATTAAGGATTAATATTAACATAATTTACTCTGAGCGACATGGTCTAGCAAATTTGTGTACTCCAACACTAATTATGCTAGTTCTAAAATAAAGCAATGAAAACCTACACTAGCACCACCTTCTGGTGAAATTGTATTGCAATAAAACAAATCTGCTGAGTAAATGCTACATTAGTGTTGTTTTTTTAACATGATCAGGTGTTGTACTTTTTTTTTTAAATTGTTAATTTTAATATATCTGACTTTGATGACTTTGATACTATCATGTGTTTGCTCCTGCACAGCTGGTGTACCGTTCCTCATGACAGGAGAACTCTTTAAACAATCCCATCGACCCTCTGCCTACATTGTAGGAGGATCTCTCAACTGGATATCAAACTTCGCTGTAGGATTTGTCTTTCCATTCCTTCAGGTAAGTCTCTTTTGCAGTAAAATGTGTATATTAAAAAAAAAATCATTTATATATTGTTTACATTTTATCTATTATTTATTTTACCTTACGGTTCATTCCCAGGTTAAAATAAGATGTTTAGACATATCAAATAAGAAAATTCATTCTGGTCCTAAAAGTTAACTTTACATGACCCATCATAAATGCCATTTTATTTTGCTGCAACAACAAAAATAGTGAAATCAACCCTAAAAAAAAAAAACACACACAAGACCTATGAAAAACATTATTAAATATCCATTCATGAATTCATTTTCTTTTGTATTTTGCAAAAACCCACATACTTTAATTGTTTTTGATCCCTTGATGCATTTCCTCTATTAGACTTCATAATTGATTATTTTGTAGATTAATTGTTAGTATCCTCAGTCATTTATTATTATTTTTTTATGTTACTTTATCTTATTTTTTTTTTATTTACCTATTTAATTCTTTTATTTTTATAATTTAAAAATAATTTATTCACTTATTCACTATCCTTCGGCTTAGTGCTTGGATTGTCAGGGGTCACCCTTCCTGCAGCAAAATATTTATGTGACATTTCTGGACATTATTGTTTTGATTTATTATTATCATTTTCCATGTAATACTAGCTTTTTTAGACAAATGTTTTGACAATTTGAAACCAGTAAACCATGTGTGGATGGGGATTGTTAGTTTTTATTCGTTCATTTTTCTTGCTTGGTCCCTTTTGTTTATCTGGGTTCTCACAGCAGAATGAACCACCAACTTATCCAGCATATGTTTTACACAGCGGATGCCCTTTCAGCTGCAACCCCCTTACTGGGAAATACACTCTGACATTCACACACCGTCTACGGCCTATTTAGTTTTTCAGTTAACATATAGCGCATGTCTTTGGACTGTGGGGAAACCGAAGCACCCAGAGGAATCCCATGCCAACGTGGGGAGAACATGCAAACTCCACACAGAAATGCCAACTGACTGAGCCAGGACTTGAACCAGCAACCTTTTTGCTGTGAGGTGATAGTGCTAACCACTGAGCCACCGTAACGCAGTTGTTAGTTTTGTTAAATATTATAAAAAAAGAAAATCCTGCTATTCATTTTAATGTTGAATTATACATCATGTTATGTATACAGATGAGGTCAGAATTATTAGCCCCCTTTTAAAATAGTTTTTTTTTGCTTTTTTAAATGTTTCCCAAATGATGTTTAACAGAGCAAGGAAATTTTCACAGTATGTCTGATAATGTTTTTTCTTCTGAAGAAAGTCTTATTTCTTTTCAGCTAGAATAAAAGCATTTATTCATTTTTTAAACACCATTTTAAGGATAAAATTATTAGCCCCTTTAAGCTAATTTTGTTTCGACATTGTACAGAAAAACCATTGTTATACAATAACTTGCCTAATTACCCTAACCTGCCTAGTTAACCTAATTAACCTAGTTAAGCCTTTAAATGTCACTTTAAGCTGTATAGAAGTGTCTTGAAAAACATCTAGTCAAATATTGTTTACTGTCATCATCGCAAAGATAAAACAAATCAGTTATTAGAAATCAGTAATTAAAACTATTGTAGCAGAAACAATCTTCAACTGTATATACTTCTAACAGAATAAGATGTTAAATACTATATTTCATTTTTTTTAGATGTCAGCTGGTGCGTTCTGTTACCTGGTGTTTTGTGGTGTGTGTGTCGGTGTGGCAGCCTACGTCTTCTTCATCATCCCTGAAACGAAGAACAAAACCTTCTTGGAGATCAGTGAGCTGTTCGCCTTAAGAAATGCTTGTGAAATTGAAAACCAGTCGCTGGTAACCAGTGCCCAACTCGCTCTCAAAAAGATGAATGGTTATGGAGCACTGGTAACTGTAGTAGATGTGGACAAAAAGGAGAAGACAGAGACATAATAGTGAAGAAAGAGGGGAGTATTGCTTCAATGAGGACCAGAATTGACTGCATATATACAGGCTCTAATTTAATATTTTATTTAAAAAATAATAATAATAAGTGCAGACTGCTATGATTGAATGCAATATAACTATCAGACTGAACATGATCAAACATTGTTATTAAAAAAAGATTAAATAAAGGTTTGTCTTTTGATTTGATGGACTATTGCAAAACAAGTTAAGTGATTTCTCTTTTAGTGCTTAAAGTCAGTGTAAAATAAAAATGAACAATGTTTATTTTGCTAGCATACACTGTAATTCTTTAGCTGAACTATTATGCACTATTTTATCCACTGAAAAATCAAAGTCTGATCATTTGTGTTTGGAGTGGCAGTCCATTATTTTTTTTACTTCTGTTTGATCTCTTCAATCATATTATTCTTAATCATGCCCCTTTTATCATTGGTTTGCTATGACGGAATGATGCCCAAAAAGAAAGCCCTGCCCCTTAATCAATATTTAGTTTCAGATGAAAGTTCTCCAACATACTGAAATAAAACTCTCAGCAACTTCAAGTTCATCGAGAGGGGTCTGGATGCAGTTGTTAGCTGAGCTTCATGCAATGCTTTTAATATGCTCACCTAACCTTAGACCTCACAGAAGCGTCACTGGTCCACTGAGTGCATTGTGTCTGACTGCATTTTTGAGAAACGCAGTCTCAGCTTGCACATCCAGGTCTGCTTACCAATACTATTGGGTTCATGCTGACTTAAAGTTGGCTAACGTTTTTAGTAGTACAATTAGCAGTTAGCTAATTGCTAACTAACAAACAGTCTAAACACAAAGTAATGTCTTTAGTCATAGGACTAAACTTTAAAAAGATTTGTTTATGGTTTTTTAAGAAGTATTTGAAATTGTTCTGAAAGGCTTAGTTTAATCAAATATTACCTTGTGAAAAAAAAAAAAATCATGTGTCTTTCCAGATGATTGGAATGTTAAAAAGTTATGTTATTCATTTTAAATGGCTATTTTTCAAAGACATAATTATATTATTTAACAATCATAAAATATACCCCAAAGTTTTGAAAATAAGTGAACGCTTTCAAAGAGGTTTTTATTATTATTATTATTACTTTTTTTTTTTTTTTTGCAAATGGTCTCTATGGGCAAATTTTTGGGTTTTCTTATTCCTTTTATTATATAAAGCATGATTCATAGAAAATGACCAAAAACATGACCTCAAGTTATACTGTAATAATGTATCAAGTGTTATTATTTGCTTTATATTCTATTCATAATCTATTTTATTTTATAAGTCTATAATACTAATAATGCAAAGAAGAAAATTATTATTATGTTATTATAATGTATTATCATTATGTATGTATGTATGTATGTATGTATGTATGTATGTATGTATGTATGTATGTATGTATGTATGTATGTATGCATGTAATATTATTAATATTATTACTATTATTATTTAAATTTAAGTATTTGTCTCCTAAATAGCCATAAGCTTAATTTTGATTGATTATATTTAACTTTGGGGATAGTTAGGCCAAAAATTACAATATACCTACTATTTACTCATCCTCAAGTGGTTTAAAACCTTTATAAATGTATTTTTTTCTGTTCATCAATAAAGCTTTTTAAACCTTTAACCATTGATTTCCATAGTAGAAAAAAAAATCAGGTTTTCAGCATTTTTCAAAATGTTGTCTTAAGTGTTTAACAGAAGAAAGAAACCCATAAAGTTTTAAAGCCAATAAAGGCTGAGTAATTGATGACAGAGTTTTCAGTTTTGGGTGAACTATCTCTTTAAGTCATATTAATTTATATACTAATAGAGTGTTAACTTGCAATAGATAATTTGTGAAAAGCAATAAACCAGTGATTTCGGCTCAGCACATATTGTTTTCCAGATAACAGAAACAGAACAAAAAGTGCAGAGCGGTGGGTCCTCAGGACCAGCATTAAAAACCACTGCAATAAACTGTACACTAATGAATGTAAACTTACATTGTATACAAACATATTCTGTACTGTACTTCTCTATTATGTAACAGATGAAACATGTTATAAGCTGTTGTCACCGTTTCATGTCATGTGAATATGTATTTATACTCCGTGCATTTAAAGAAGAGCACAGTCTGACATGTGCAAGAATAAACAGCAGAGGGCGTCCAGGACACAAATATAAATGCAATTTAAATTAAAATCATTGTAATACAGGAGTTTTTTTAATTTATTTATGATTTACATTTTTGTAATAAGTTATGCTTTTTTATTTCATTATCAGAACAAACCACTAGTTTTGTGACTTTGCTAATGAATCTAACTAGCCTAGTTAAAAAGCATTTAAATTGCGCTCAGTATAATCTCAATATATAGTATCTTGCAAAAAACAACTAGTAAAATATCAATAAGGGTTTTGTCTTAAACAGGATATATAATGGCTGTAATAACTAATCTGAGGAAAAACAAAACAAATTATTTGTAAAATGATTTGTTTGCAAAATAAATTGTTTCTTTTTTTGTGCTTTTTTTTATTTGGACTATATTCAAACTTAAAAAGTATAACCCTATGTAAGTATAACCCTGAGAACTGATTTTTTAATTATTTTTTAAGCTGTAAAAAGAAATTAATGACTTGAAAATACTTTTAAAAACGTAAAACTTAAAAAAAGAGTTAAAAAGAGTAAACCTGTTGCAACTTTTAACTGACACCTTCATTTTTATAATTATGAACATAGTTATTTTACTTGATTATCTAAGCCAACAGGTTTACTAACTTTATTTTAAAAAAGAAAGTTTTTTACATTGAATTCCAGCGTTATGGATGTGACATTTGCAGTAAAAATTCAAAGCGTAAATTCACAGAGAAAGTATATTTTGTATTGAAATGTCTATTTTTATTTTCCAAAACAACTAACCAAAGAATTATAAGATCAGAAAAATATGTCTGTAAACATTTTTTAGATTTCAAATGAGGAAAATAAACATGCATTATGGATGTGACGTAAAAAGTTTTTGCGAGTTTACACTATAAAACATACTTTGTAGAAATTTTGTGAAATAAGCTGCACAACCCAAAAGAATTTATGCTAATCAAGATTAGAAGAGTTGGCTCTCTATACAATAAACATGACTAATTGTATTTAATTTTACATTTTTGCATTTATGATGAATAGGGGGAAGAATTCTTTGCTCGTAAACCACAGTTTTTTTTGTTTTTTTTTTTGGTTTTCCGGGTCTTTTGGTGTTGTTGAACTCACTGGTGCAATTATGAATGTGACAGATGTGAAATTGGCACTTGTGTGACTTTGGTAAATCAAAAATAATAGTTTGAGAACATCGACAGAGCCATTTTAAGTATTTTTAGAGTACTGTCAAATACTTGTCTACACAAAAATATAGGAACGGTTTTGCTATTTTGGTTAAAACTTTGGTTAAAGTTTTTGTCATGGCATTAACATTTGCACAGAATTGCTCGCATAATAATCTTTAAATTGTTTCCATAAAATCCTACTTTAAAATAATTGTATATAACCTTTTATTATATCTGTATAAAACAAAACAAAAAACAGTATTTAAAAATGTTGTACTTTTTGCTTTTTTATCTTTTAAACATAAACACACTTGGTCACCCTACGCTGTTGACATCACGTTGAGATTGTAGTAAGGTATCCAATCACATCAGCTGCTGGCCTTTGAGTGATGGAGCGGCAGATACAGACAGTGTTTTAAGGATGATCATCTCAGTTCCAGTCATGCAAGCACACACGGCCACTGACAGATTGTGTCGAGTGTCCGTTGAGCTCTTATCACACACACACACACACACACACACACACACACACACACCATCTCCAAATCCCTTTGCCATCCACTGTCAGGAGCACCAGCACATACCAGTCAGGTGCTTTCAACACTCAAAAAACTTGCCATGGAATTCCAGTTCTGTCTTATCTCTGCTGTATGGCACTGCATGTTTTTCATACCTGTCTAAGCTTCCTGTGACTCCAGACATTTCATCCACAGGAAACCCTGGAGAGCCAAGTCAGATTTTTCATACAGATAGGTATTTTGGATGAAGAATAAAATGTTTAATAAAATGATGTGTTCTGTTAATGAGGATGTTGATTCCCTGATAATAAAATAAAATAATTAATGGTAATACACACACACACACACACACACACACACACACACACACACATATATATATTTTGTTCTATTCGTTCTCCTCTCTCTAAATATATATATATATATATATATATATATATATATATATATATATATATATATATATATATATATATATATT